CCCCCCCCCCCTTCTCACCCATATGGTTTTTACTAAAAAAATAAAAAATAAAAAATCTGAATCTTCAGTTTTTGTTTTGTTTTGGGGTTTTTTTTCTATCTCTTTCCATCATGCCTCGAGGCAGCCAGTACAGTTTGTTAGTGCCTGATTATATAAGAACCAGAAAGTTTTTGGCAGTTCATAAAGCACGATATCCCTCTGTAGTACTACATTTTATATGATCTTTGAACATGTTATTTTTGGCACTGTAAAGTAAGTTGGAAATGGATCTTTGCTACTTACTTGTTTTTCTGTCCTGTTTCACTGTGATTCCTCTGGTTCATGCTTGATACAGTTACTTGTGAAGCTGTTTTCTGAAATTCTTCAGCTCCCACGAGAGGTATGTGGAGGCCCAGTGTGGTACTGTAGCTGTAGAGTATTTTTGGCTTTTCATTTCTATCACACAGGTAAAATGAAGAAAGCCTCTACCAAAAAAAACCTAATGGGGTAGGCCATTGTCTCTCTAAACACTGAGCAGTTCATCATCTCTCTAAACACTGACAGTGTTACTCTTATAGACTGTAAAGCATCAGTACTTTGAGACAAAGCTGCTGTGTCCCCATAGGTACTTTGTATTTAGGTCTGTCAACAGAGTATGACTCCACAGGGAACGATTGGTGGTTGCATTTAGAGTACTGAAATACAACTTTGTTTTATTAAAACAGATGATCTGTCACAGCTTGTCCACTATACCTTCACAAAGTCAGTGTTTCGACATTCTCCAGACTGGCATCTGTAAATATCTGGTAAGTACCATTTTGTCTTCTAGGTTAACTTCCTTGTGATGGATTTTGTAACAGTCCAATTAACCCTCAAATCCACTTATTCCATATATTTAATGTATAATTTCAGCATTAGAAGAAGTTATTAACAAGATGAGTGGAGTTTTAAAAAATGTCGAATAACTGTTGGTATCCAAAGTTACATGGATTTTTCTGCTCTGACTAGTTCAGCATGTTTTCAAGCCAGGACAGCTGTAAATGAAAGGCTCCTTGTTTTGGTTTGCTTTGCTTTTCAGAAGAGCAACTAGAAGCTTTAGATGAGTTTTAGAGTGTGTCGTCTTCTAATCCTGATTACCCCCTGAGCTGAGCATGGGTCTGGCAAAGTCAGAGCTGGATAACAATTTCAAGGGGCAGAATTTGCAGTTACCCGTGATGCTGCTTGCTGAGAGGGAGGACTTGTCCATCCTTCTGTTGAGGTGGTTCTGTGATCTGACGAGTATCTGCAGTTCCCTGCGTGGAGCCCTGCTGAAGCTTCCATATGGGAGTGACTTCCCTGTAACTCTAGTCTGGATTTTTGAGCATGGATGTTGATTTAAACCATAACTAACCAATCAGCTTATGCATTCTGCTGCACTGTCACTCTGAGAGCAGAGTTAAGTGGCTTTTTATAGTTGACGAGACTGCTGCCCAAGATCTCTAACTGGATGATGACACTGAACAAGGAAGAAAGGCACCGTGTAGGCAACATCCTACATGGGAACTTACTTGAGCAGTCTCATCTACTGGATTTGTATAAATTGAAATGTCTGTGGTCAAAGCATCTTCCAGACCGGGTGGCTGGCACGTCTCATCAGCGGTCTTGCCACCCTCAGGGTGCTTCTTTATATGCAGACATGGATCTATATAATCGCTATTATTTCCTACTTGTGGTTGATCAGGAACATCATTACTGGTTTTTATTATTTCATGCCTCAATGTCCTGTGGTATTTAGCAGGGTCTTGGTGACAGTTGGAGTCCACCTTCTCTCAGGCAGGAATGCCATCCTTCTCCTGCCTTTACACTGGCTGATGCGGGGTCAGCTTGGGACAGTGATCTGCCATCGTGGCCTTGAAATATGCCTAGTGTCTGATATGGCAGTATTTAAAAGTTTGAACCCATCATTGTTCTTTATCTTTTACCTCTCCTGAGTAATCATACCAATGAAATACATTCCACATTTCTGTAGCTTGTACTTTATTGATCTTTTTTCTAAACATTTCTAAAAGAAACAGCTGACCTTAAGTGAACCAACTGCCTCTGTCAGCTCAAAACAATGTACTTGCAGGTTAGAAAATTAGGTTACTCTAAAACTCCTTAAATTAGTTTTTTAATAAGATACACGGTGCCACATTAGCAATACATGATTTTTTTTTTTAACAGCTTTACAGGACAAAGATCTAGGATAGTTACTAAATAGCACTTAAAAATCTAAAGCACTTTCTAATTCACTGCCTCTACCCAAAAAAAGGCATTTTCTAAGTTATTTATCATGCCTGTAAAATCCTTACTCAATATGTTCTCATTTTAACACCAGCAGAGTATCACCCCAGCTGTGGGCTGACCATATGTTTCATTAGCTTTAATTTAACTCGGCTCATACCACTCTTGTTCCTGCGGAGCCTGTTGGATTTCTGAGGAAACTCACCCTGATGATGATCCAGTAGCAGCTTTTTCTTTCTGGAAAGTAAATCTGAGTTTTCTTCTATCCCAGTGCCTGCTCATGGCCATTTCAAGACACAGAAGGGCTGCTCTGTCCCATGATAGGTGCTTAAAAGGAAAGACCTGTGCTGTCCAAAAGATTCTCTTTGTGCCTGTATCATCTTTCAGAGCAAGGCTCAAAGCAGTGGGTTTTCTTAGATACATGTGAGATGAGGGTTTATGTAGAGGGGATGGAATTGAAGATGCTGGTTTTACCTTCTGTTGGTATGGGTGGCAGTTTCTTAGGAAAACAGGAATTTGAAAAAACACAGTAGCATGGAGAACTTGGAACAGAAACAAAATAATGTATGTCATGACATGAAAGACATTCATCTGGGTCTACACATATATCAGCAAAAAACTTGTGTATGAAATTATGAACTTGGGTTTTTTGTTTTTTTTAATACAGGTTGGATTGGTTGTAATACCCGATAGCACAGCTGGATCTGTTCTATGTGCCATAAATAAGCTCTTGGATCAAGCTTGCATCCTAAGTGAAAACCTGCACAAGTTCTTAGCCTCTTGTTGTTACAGTCTTCTGTACTTTCTGCTAACTTTAGACAAAGAGGATGCAGAACATGTACAGAAAAGGTAATGCTGCTTTTCTTATGTTAATTGTCTTGCCTTTATACTCACAAGTGTTTAGAGATGTAAAATGAAAGGATACCCCCAGCACTCCTCCCAATTTATTTTGCCGTCTTTTGCTCACTTGTAAACAGTACTTGGATTTAAGAAAAACAGAATTTCATCTCAGATTGTTCTAGTTAGATGTCAGAATCTTCCTGACTTTAGAAGGCTGGCTATTTATACCTTAATCTTTAGGTTTAGCCTTCAGTTTCATTAGATACATTGAAAAGTAACAGGCAGAGGATTTATGAGCATGTCCTGTGAACTGACTTGATACTTCAGCTTTAACAAAACTTCTCAGGTGTCATTTTGTAGACAGCAAATCCATTTGATTTTTTTGAAAAAAAAAAAAAGCTACAGATACCAGATATTTAAATAAGTTTATTTAGCTGTATAACAGAAATATCTTTAAGCAGTTTAAACTTCAGATTTTTCCTCTACTTGTTCCACATTCAGCAAAGTTGTTCAAAGCTTATTTAAAAATTTAAGATGTCTTTTTAAAGTTGAAGTTCTGCTGTATATAATGACTTGCTGATTTTGATCACACAAAGCCAGTTCCATTGTTTGATTTCTTATGAGTCTTAAGTCAGGTGTACCTGGAGAGTGACTGTAACAAAAGCATCTTCCCGGCTCCATTGAGCAGAAATTACACTGTGTTGGAGCTTCTGTAACATTGGTAGCTCCAGGGCAGGACCCTACATTTTTTCCAGTGCTGTACATAATTTTAGAGTATTTTCAATTTTAGCATTTTCTGGTACAAATTTTTTGCTTTGGCACTAATTATAATGAAGGCAATTGGCGTGATTGAATTCAGAGGCATGTTTCTTGTACAGCTGTGAGGCTGGTTCACAGAAGCGTACTTGAAATACGTGTCCTTGATCATTCCAATTCTTGTTCTCTTTCCCTCTCAGGGATATGCTGTGGGGATCGTGTATCTCTGCATTAGCACTCCTGCCACGATTACTGAGACTGATGCTGCAAAGTCTGCAAGTGAGCAGGATCTGTCGGGAAGAACTGCCCGTGGTTGCTCAGTTGCTTCGCTTACTAATGCAGCATGGTCAGCTCAGGAGCCATATGATCACAAATGAATTTCTGGTGCAACAGATTATCAAGGACATCATGGTATGAAACCTCCTGTTGTTTCCTAGAGACTACAAGGATCTGTACTTCATGTTTATGTTTAAAAATGATTGTAAATGCTGAAGAACAGATGTTGAACAAAATAGGAGTTATGACTGGTTTTTATTTGTTCTGGAAGTCCAGGCTGTGTTGAAGGCTGCTGCTTGCCCCAGCTCCTGCAGTCACTGTGCAGATGAGACAGGTCTGAAGTTCAGCTTCCACCCAGCCCAGGGCCCTGGGCAGCAGCTGCCTTCCTCACAGAGCGCACTGGAAGCAGATTGCCTACGCCCTCTCTGAGGGAGAGCTGTCCCAGAATAAGAAACTAGTCTTCTGTTTGTGGGAGCAGGGCTATATAGGTGTACGGAGAGGGTGTTAAATCAGACAAACTCTCTTAAATATGTATGGGGCGAAATACTTTTAAATATTGCAAAACCCAGTGCTTCTATTCATGTGTCTGTTCCAGTGGTTTTGAGACTATTGCTTCTCTCTTCAGAAACAAAATCTGAAACCGCCTTCACACAAAGCTTTTACTAGTTTTGAGTGCAGAAAGCTTGTTTGAGTAAGTCAGTCATGGGCATTCATTAGGAGCTTTTCAAAGGTCTGTTACCAGAAGTATAGCCTGTAAGAGAGGATCGTGCAAGTTCTCTAACAGAGAATGAAGCGGTTGGTTTCCTTTGGGGTTGAAAGCACCTCAGCCGGTTTTGGTGATGTTCTGCTGTGGGTGGGTTGTGTGGTGGTGGTGGGTGTTTTTAACCACTTAGGAATGCTGAGGAGAGTAACTGTACCATGGGCTGTGCTGGTCTGTGGGTAGTAGTTCTGTAGACTGGGGTATTGAGCTCTCCTGCTTTAGTAGAACTGTGCTCATTTACATTTTAATTGACTATAAATTGCAGAATTGGAAAGTAGGCAAGCTGCTATAATTAAGAGTAAGGAAATCACATCTGCTGTAAGTCTTACACTTCATAATGTAACACCCACCTGGTGTACTAAGTAGTGACACTGTTATTTCGGCTTTAGCAGACGTAAAATGTCTAAGTGAGAAGAATTATGTCACTCTGTGCAGGTGAACAAGGCTGGCCTGTACCTTAAACAGTGCACCTGATCAACTGCAAAACCAAAGCAAAGCTCTCAAATGCTGTTGGTGAAATTGAGTTTTACCTCTTCTCCCCTTCTTTCTAGACACTGAAGAGTGGTGAAGTTCAAGAGCAGTGGCTAACAGACCTCCATTACTGTTTCAACATCTACCTTGCCTCTCATCCCCAGGGACCTGGCCCTATAAACGCCGTATATTAAAGAGGTCGAACTGCATTTATTGTAAAGCATTTACTTCTATTTAGTTTTGAATGGAAGATGTTGGAACAAAGCTTGTCAATTTTTTTGTAAGTGAAACAGAATAAAAGTTTTACAAAGAACTGCATACCTCTGTTGCCTTTCTTTTCGAGTAAGTAGATGTTACTGGGAGTTGTTTCAGTAGATGTGGTGACCATGGTGAGGGGAGTTTAAAAAAATCCATTCTCCTCAAAGCTTAAGTGCTTGCAGAGAAGCAGACTTGTATTGACTTAAAATCATCTATTATTTCAAAGCATCATGTTAATTAAAAAATTAGAATTATGCAATACCAACTAGATGAAAAAATAGAAAACAATGTACTTTGAAACTAGAGTAATGTTTTTTTTATTTTTGCTGAGTTCATATTTTTAAATTCTTTGTGCAAGGTAAATACTGTATCCTGGCAGCTCCAAAGCTATAAGAACAAGTTTCTTTCTAGAATAGGTTTTGTTTTTTCTTTCTTCAGAAACTTTTTGCACAGGTATAAAACCAGTTATTAATATGGAAAAAAAGGGTGATAAATGTCAAAGGATAGAAAACACACCCCTAACAATTTCCATGGGCTGTGGAAAGCAATTTATTTACTGAGTGTTTTTTGTCAGCATCTCTACTTTTCCTTCCAAATCCACAGCTAGCTAAGAAACAATTGCTTCTTTAGTACAGAAGTGGTTCATGGAGGTTGTTCTTCTGTTCCTGTTTAGATTTTGAAATACATTTCATAAACTTGAGGTGAAATTGAAGAGCAGGCTTTCAGAACTGCTACATCCGTAGTACACTTTCCCTCTCCTTTGAAAACTGCATTTGATCACATTTGAAATTCTGACTTTTGACAATGGAGAACTTTGGGTGCCCCTGCAATGGGCTTAGTGCTTCAGTTTCTGCTTCCAAATGCAATTCAGATTTCATCCTGTCAGTAAATAAATTAACAGTTGCATTTAAAAACAAATTTGTACACAAAATGAGTCCAACTCTTTAAAAAGTCTGCTTGGCATCTAATGCTGAGATAATATAAAATTGAAAATGTGTTCAAGTTTAATATGTTGTAGGTGACTCGTACATTATGAAAGATAATAGTTGTACTGGAATGTGCTCTTTACATTTCAAACATTCAGTTTTGCTTAGTGCTTGAGTCCTGTATTTTTTGATTTTGCAGCAGTGGTTGGTCTCATGTTGTATGAAAATTGCTTTGATTTTCCCATGTTCTCCAGCAAATTAACACACTGTAGGTTGTTTACTGTAAAAGAACAAAATGGTTTTGATTAGTAACTAGTGGATAAAAAGAAGTTTAATCTACACTGCATTCTAGATTTGGTAAAGAATGAATCTACCAAGAAAAGAACATCCCTTTTTTGTGACATCTCACTTTGATCATCTGTAAGTAGTTCAGTTTCTGGGGCACCCGCTACAACTAAGCCATATACGCTGTAGCCTTCTAGGGAATGCAGCCTATAATCATGGAGCTGAACTTGAGTTTTCCCCTCATAAGCGAAGGAAGGTTTCCAGCCTGACAGTTCAGTCACTAAATCAATGCTCTTGGCTGAGTTTGCTGAAGAGCAGCAAGAGATTTTGTTGAGCAATATTTAGCAACATTAGGTACTGGGTCATTTCTAGAAAGTAGGGGAAACTAGTCCAGGGCTAAAGCAAGTCCTCTCTGAATTGTTAGAAAGCAATAACAAATGTCAGCTGACAATTCTCTTCAGTTTTGAGTCTGGCTGAGTGTCTGGACTCATTCAGTGTTTTATTTACTGTGATGTGCTTCAAACAATACATGTGTTCTCCCTTCCCAGTTTGTAGAGATTGTATGTGAACATTTTAGTGCTTTATCCCATTCTAGCCAGGGTCATCCCAAGTGCAAATCAGAACATTTCACTTGGGGGAAGAACCCAGGATGTCTTAAGGATGGCTTTCTAAAGCCAAGAATTGCAAAACCTGCTCCTTTACAACTCTGTAAACACACTTTAATGTCCATGGTGAAACAAAAAAAAGGGCTTATCTGTTTGACCTGCTGCAGAGAGCCTCTTCAAATGCCATTTATTGAATTGACAAAAGCCATCTATTTAATAAAATGCAAAAAAAGAACAACTTTCAGGTTCCAAATTGTTTTAATTATATCAATCATAAAGGCCCTATTTGCCAGAAAATTTTGAAGCACATACCCACTATCTGTGTGCCTCAGCACACACTGCTTTTTGACTTGTTGCTCTCTGCCCCCCATTACTTACTTGTCCATTTCCTTTCAATACCTTCTGTGTGTCCCCCACTCCGAAGTGTTTGGTCAGCTTATGCCAGTAAGTTAAGGGAGTTTGGTGTCAGTCCCTGTTACAGATTTGTCACTGCGTACTTCTTCCACTACCTCTATGAACATTAAAACTGGGGCTGACAGTCAGTCTTCACCTTCCCTGATGTACCTTCTGCAAGAGCAGAATCAAACTGAACAGTCCATTCTGACCTACTCCAGGCACCTACGTCAGAAACAGAGTATCTGGCATTAGCCACTGACAGCTCTGAACTTTTCCAACAAACGTAATGTTGTCATGCACAAAGGCAGTCAGATGAAAAACATGTTATTGTCTTTAAGTAAGGGCTAAAGTTCCCTGAGCTCCTATTAGGTGAATAAAAGTAGGTAGTGTTCTAAAGGAACTGGGCAGAGTTCCTATCACTATCCTATTCGTCACCAAGTTATGAAAGCGAAGGACACTGAAACCTCAAAAGAAAGCCTTTTTATTTCAGAAGACAGGGAGATCTGTTGTCCTGAAAAGTTAAACGAAAAGAAGCATTATTTGCTAAAGCTCTTTTAAAATTTAGATTAACATCTGCATGAAGAGGTGGCAATCAAACACCTGTCTGGTCAGGCCTCTCAAACAGTTTTCAAACAGTGGAAGAAAAAACCTTTGTTGGTGAGGCAGAAACTCACCTACAGTGCTAACAAACCCCAGGACAGGTCTACTGTCACATTTCCTTTGACTTCAGTTTTGTTAAACTAGTTGGAAAATGTATTTTACTTCCCTTTGCAAATTACCTGGACTACTGTCTCCTTGAAGCAGTTGCTTTGTTGCTGTCTAGCTGTGGCCTGACTCTGAACTACATGTGATACAACCATGAAGACCAAATGTGCCATAGGTTAGTAAATCTCCACATGGTGAAGGGCTAACGTTAGCATTAGCTCCCATCCCTGAGTAAGTCTATAACACAGTTAAAAAAGTCTTAGAAAGTGCCATTTAGTAAAGAAGTAGTAGGAGAAATGACCATGTACTCTTAAGTTCATTTTTAAGCTGTCAAATAAAGCCACACGCATAGAAGTTCCAGCATTTAATGACTTGGATAATACTGTTACAATCCCTGTTCCTTGATGTTATTCTGTGTGATGGCGTGTAGCCCCTCTGCCTGCCTGCACAGCTTGACAGTCCTGACCTTGCCAACCCTACCGCCCCAATACCAGTTCCACATGTAAAATTTCAGCTGCAAACAGAACTAAGACTTTCCCAAGGAAAACCTGGTAGAGACTACATGGCTTCTGAGTCAGCCATAAATTAAATGCATGGTTTCATTAAGAGCCTTAAAACTTACTGCAAGTAAAATTCTAGGAAATTACTAAGGCTCTGTGCACAGTGCAGGAATCCCCTTATGCCATTTTAGATGAGTAACTGGATTTTCATGTTTTCGTCTGTGCACCAAACCACGTATTTCTAACACACAGGTGTGTAAATTCTTGGCATACGTAGGAATCTGCTCGCTTTAGTTCTATGAGACTAGTAAGTCTTGGCTGCTGAACTGGAGTATGAGCACCTGTAAGTAATTTTAACCACAACTGATTGTTATCTGGTTTATCACTGTACAAGTCCATTATATTAAGGTTTATCCTAGTAACAGCCCAATGAAAACAGGTTTTCATATCAGTGTTTCAACATAAGGATAAAAGTGCAGTGCTCAAATAAGTCCAAAAGTATTGAAAGAGCAAGTGTGCAGTCACAACAGTTTGGTAGTAGTTACATGTTTTGAGATAAGATCCCAGTTCTTGAGCAGATTTTTTTTCTTTTCTAAGAAGACGAAACTGATTTCACATATAAATAAACATCAAAGTATTCTTAAAATGTATGTGTCCTACCTGAGACCAGCTGCACATCCGAAAGTTTCAGCTTAGAAGTAGGTCTTGTTGGCTGATACGCTCTGCCTTCCTGAGAACGTCCTTTAACAAACAATATGAACAGCTGTTTATTCACATAAAGATGTGGCTATGTATAGCCATAAACTATTTAAGTAAGTAGGCCACAGCATTATTTTATCCTAAATTTTTTTTCATTTATGATGAGGAAACTCATGAGAGGTTCTATATGACAGAAAATCGTGACAACCACAACTGAACTTTTAACTAAAGTTAAAATACATCTTGCAGTTGCTACAAAAAAAGAAGGAAAGTAAAATTATTAGCTCTGTTTATTTATTTAATCATTTTTGGCTATCTAAACCACAGAGCCATGATAGAAGTGGCTTATCACCTGGTAGAGTACATATAGTTAGCACATCCTTACTCCATCATTGATCCACACTGTGAAGGAACTCAGTTTTTCCTCTACCCTTTCTTCAAGACACATTCCTTTGCACCGTGCACATTCAGGCATAGTGCAAAGCAGTGTGGTATTATCAGAAAGGATGATCCTGCTCTTTCAATAAAGACCAGCTGTCTTCAAACAAGAAAGTTATTAACATGGAACAAAATCATATTCTTCAAATGGAAATATTTAAAAAAAAATACAACCCCCAAAAAGTTTAAAACAACGCTTAAAAAAATTAAAGCGTGATCCAGATAGCCACTGTGCATTGATAATCTATCCCCAGTCTAACTGCTCTATTCTCTTCTGATATATGTGAGCAGCTCTGGCAACAGTATTATTTGGTTGCTCAAGACCTGTGCTGGCACAATGCTATGCGGTGTTTCAAACAGCTTTAGCAGCAGCCATTTTAAATCACAGAGGTGGGTATTTTTTTCAACCTAAAACAGAAACACAATTATCCAGAACACCTGAGATTTGGACTGATTTTTATAAATAGTTGTAATCCCTAAAAATCAGGTAAGAAATGTACAGAAGA